TATTTTAAACAAGTAATCAAAGCACTCAGACCACTTGCCTGCAAAAGTCTGGTTACAAGTAGACTGAATATATCTCAATGATACTGGTTTATTGAGCTTGAGCACCGATATGTCCTCTGGCAATTGAAGGATCGGAGTTCGTACTCTATCTCTATTAATATAAGATTTAACCGCTGATACGGGTAGTAAGCACAACGATTGATCCATCTTAGTCCAGACATCGAGACCACCCACTGGAGCATGAACATCTGGGTCAATTACAGTCATCTCCTCAGGAGATGACCAGGCTGGTCATATGCAGCTAACATTGCCTCTTCAACGTCTTGTAATTGCGGATTCATAGAGGTTGCGGAGTACGAAAACAGCAGCACATACATCGGATATCCTTCTCACATCGCCCCAATACGATGTCGAATCTGCAACCTCATCTTAAAACGACCGAAAACTCAACTGAGCCGGTCAATCACAACTCTTGCTCGGTATCTTTGTATCTGGAAACGGCGTTGAACATCGTCCAAATGCTGTCCCAGGCTTTCTTTGTGAATTCCCTTCTCTTCTCTGTTATCTTGGGTAAGCGGAAGACCACCGCTAGGTCGCGCTTAACGTCCCAGGTTCGACCCCTGCGAGGTACAATATTCGAGTATGGTACTCCGAAAGGTCCCTTGTTCAACCCCTGCGGAGTACAATATTTGCTTGAGTATCAGTTTAGGAAGGATCAACTCTGCCTGAGTTGAACTTGAGGAACACTCAAGTTTCTCTTCAAGTACGCATGTTGTGGAATGCTCTTCGTGGCTACTCAAGTATTTGAATGGAAACTCAAGGCACCTCGACTCGAGGTTCTCAAGTATTCACCAACTTGAGGCGCATCAAAGTGCTTACTCGAGCAATGAAATGGCTAGCCGGAATCACTTGGTACAGGTGGCTTCATTGGACTAGCTCCCCGGTTTCTGGGATGTTACCTTCTGATGGCAGGCCAGAGTCACGGCCGGGGGGCCAGACGGTAGCAAAAAGTGGGCCAGACGGTAGCAACCGGAAAAAAAATTATATTTAAAGGGGAATCGCGGGCCTCCGGCCCGCTACTACTACCGTGATCCCCAATTAGTCATAGACGACCTGTAGATGACACACTTGTTTGGTCTGCACGGAGCGAAAAAACCGAAAAAAGCTGGTGCCAGGAATCGAACCTACGACTTTCTATCGTCCCTGCCGTTTACAGAAGAAGAATTATACATGTATTCTATTTTTTTGATGTTGTGGTCGATAGCGCAGTGCTTAGATTAAATACTAAATACGAAAATCCTATCTTTGCAACACACGTCATGCAATACATCGATGGGATGTGTGAAAGTTTCACACGCTCTCGACACGTATAAGCTTCGACACGTATAGGCTTCGACACGTATAGGAATATCGAGGCTTCTTATTGGGGGCGAGGATTTGGCTTAGCAGTCTTCCATGACTTCCCCCTACATGTGAAACAATACCAGCGCTTGGAATTATTCAAAGCTTCGTCGTGACCGGAAATCGAACCCGTTACCGCAGAGTAGAGTATGGCGCAGTCGATATGCCACCACTTGTTGTGTGGACAGGTTCTACGACTGCATCTTATCATTCCAGTTGACGGGTTGTTACCACGGCCGCACCCACAGAAGGGTCCTGTGTCATCGGTTGGTAACAACTCTGGCCAGGCAATTTCCGAGTACGGTCGTGCACTTGCTATCTCAGAGCTTTGGCCTGCCTGCGCCCCTGCTAAGGCTGAACCGATCTCCTCTTGTGCTTCTGTCGCCTCGCCCTCTTGTGCTTCTGTCGCCTCGCCCTCTTGTGCTTCTGTCGCCTCGCTCTCTTGTGCTTCTGTCGCTCCGCCCTCTTGTGCTCCTGTCGCTCCGCTCTCCTCTCCTAAGTTTGCCGCACCATTACCGTCTTGTAATCCTGTGGCTTTTTTTGCTCGCTTGGATTTGCGCGCCGGTCGCTTGTTTAAGCCGTATCTCACATTTTCAGGTATGGTTGGCTCCATGATCTGCCCACGTTTGTCTCTCCTTTGGGATGGCTTACCAAATCGAGCAATTGTTATGGACCAATCACGAACAGCTTCAGCACTGCTTTCGAAACCGAGTGTGAAGGCGAGGCAAAGCACATGACTACAAATGCAGCTCTTCACCCACTCCTTACAACTACACCACGGACCTGCT